AGGCTGGGGATGTGGGTTCAAGCGGTAGCGCGCTCGTACGGGTTCGATCCTCAGCACCACATACAAACAAAGATGTTGTGTCTGCTGAAAACTAAAAAAAATAAATAAATATTAAAATTCTCTCTCTCTAAAAAAAAAAAGGACTGGGGGTGTAATTCAGTAGTAAAGTGCCCCGTACCCCTGGCTTATGCTCCAGTACCAAAAGAAAAATTGCACCAAGTTAATAATAATCATCTTTTTAAAAGTATACTAGAGAGAAAAGATGTTGTACTATCATTACAAGTCTAATGAACAGGCCTGGTGTTGTGGCTCAGCAGTAGAGTGTTTGCCTAGCACATGAGAGGTCCTGGTTCATTCATTCCTCAGCACTACATAAAAATAAATAAAGGTATTGTGTCTAACTACAACTAAAAAATAAATATTAGGAGCTGGGGCTGTGGATCAGTGGTAGCGCACTTGCCAGGTATGTGTGAGACACTGAGTTCAATTCTCAGCACCGTTTATAAATAAATAAAGGTTTATCAACAACTAAAAAAAATTTTAAAAATAAATAAATATTAAAAAAACAACAACAGAAGTCTAACAGACACAGTGGCACACACATATAATGCCAGCTACCTGAAAGGCAGAAACAAGAGGATTTCATGTTTTAGGCCAGCCTAGGCAATTTAGGCAAACCTGTCTCAAAATAACAAATAAAAAGGACTGGAGATATAGCTTAATGGCAGGACACTCCTGAGTTTAATTCCCAGTCCTTGTGTCTTTTCTCTCTCTCTCTCTCTCTCTCTCTCTCTCTCACACACACAGACACACAGAAAAAATAAGAGTTCTCCTGAGCCAGGCACCTTGGCAATGCCTGTAATCCCAGGAACTCCAGAAGATGAGGTAAGAAGATCAAAAGTTTGAGGCAAGCCTCAGCAACTTAGTAAGATCCTCACTAACTTAATGAAACCTTGTCAAAATAAAAAAGGTTGGGGATTCAGCTCAGTGGCAAAGTGCCCCAGGGTTCAATCCCCAATAAAAATAAAAAAATAAATTCAAAGAAAAAGGGCTCGCCTAGCATCACAAGGTCCTGGGTCCAATCCCCAGTACCACCAAAAAAATTAAAAAAAAAAAAAAAAAGAAAAAGACTACCATTCTCACACTTTCCTGAAATACAATATGACTTAAAATTATACAAAGTACATTCTATATAACAAATCTATAATATTAACATCTATCATTTCATAACTAAAAAAAAAAAAAGAGGCAGATGGGGGCAAAGTACCTAATGACTGACTAAAAGAAAATTCAGTTGATTTTTAACTTTAAGTGGTTTCCTAGAAAAGTTGGCTTCTTAAACTTGACAAGCATCAGAATAACACAGAGGGCTATTTAAAACAAGATATTTGGGCCCCACTCCCAGAACTTCCTGATTCAGTAGATCAGTGTTGGGGCCCTAGTATTCACACATTTAACTGATTCTCAGCTAATAGATACAGTGAGATTACTTGAGGAGGTATAAGGTCACCAAGGCTAGCGCGTATTGCGGGGGAAACAATTTAAGCAGCCTCTGCTTAGTCCAGGAAAAGATCTAAAGATACTAGTCTAGGCTGGGGATGTGGCTCAAGTGGTAGTGTGATCGCCTGGCATGCGCTGGACGCTGGGTTCCATCCTCAGCACCACATACAAACAAAGATGTTGTGTCTGCTGAAAACTAAAAAATAAATTTAAATAAATAAATATACTAGTCAAGAACCACCATTTGATAAATCTGTTTTATTAGGATAAAAACAAAAGTTCAGGCCAAACTAATATCAGTTTTAGGTAAACCAAACTAACTTCAGTTGCCTTCTTCAACCAGGCTGTGTTAGAGCATCACTATAGAGTTTAGGGCGAGGTAATTAAAAAGTCCCAACACTTTATGGAAAAAAAAGAAGCAAAAAATTAACTTTAAAATGTGCAAAAAAAAAAAAAAAAAGAAACAAAAAACTTTAAAATGTATAACTTTAAAAAACAAATGTACAACTTTTCAGATCTATCCAGTTTAAAATTATCAATAAATACCAAAATCTAAAATTCCACAATAAAATATGTCTAAAACAATCTATTTCATCTCTAATGTACCATATGCTAACAATTTGGATTAGGAACATACGTGTAAGAAACAAATTGTTTCTCCACCACTCAATACTAGCAATGCTGACCCTATGCCATATCGGAAAATGTTTTCTTCTACGAATTGGAATACTACAACTACTAGTTTATTTGTAACTTAAAGATCAGTTACTGAATAAATTATTTCAAGAAACAAACCAGTTATTAAACTCTTGGGGATACCAGGATACCAGCTATGGCCCCCTTCTTCCTCCCAGGAAAAGTCTGTTACCCCTTTTTTTAATAAACCTTGCTTTATATGCTTAAAAAAATTACACCCTTATTTTAAAAAGCTACTATGTCACATATGTTTATTCAGATCTAGTATACATTACATGATTTTTCTAAGTAGAAAAAATAATAGTTCAGAAATAAACCTTTTAAATTTACATCTTACAAACAGAATTCACATTAAACTGTAAAGCTATCTATAAAGTCAAATTCTATAAACTAAATCCTGACTTCCAACAGACAAAACTTTACTAATTGTATGCAAAAAAATTTAGTATGCTATGTTTGGAGGAGTATATTCCAAAAGAGCAGTCAACAGCAACCCTTCTCACCTCCTAATCTCAGATTTTTTTAAAAATGAACAGTACTAAAAGTACATTGAATAAACTGTGCTGGCCCATACACTAGCCATACTTGGCTATTTAAATTAAGAGCCAGGACAGTGGAATAGGCCTGTAATCCCAGTAACTGAGGAGGCCGAGGCAGGAAGATCACAAGTTCAAAGCCAGCCTCAACAATTATAGAGAGGCCCTAATCAATTCAGTGAGACCAGATCTCAAAATTAAAAATGGGGGCTGGGGATGTGGCTCAAGGGGTAGCTCGATCGCCTGGCATGCATGCGGCCCAGTGTTCAATCCTTAGCACCACATACAAAGATGTTGTGTCCGCCGAAAACTAAAAAAAATAATAATGATAAAAAATATTAAGTTCATTAAAAAAAATCAAAATTAAAAATGAGATAGGGATATAGCTTAGTGGTAAAGTGCCCCTGGGTTCAATTTCCAGTACCATTCAAACTGCACTACCCAGCCCTCCTAGCCTCATTCAAGTGCTCAACAATCACATGTGGCTAGTGACTACTCTTTTGGACAGTACAGATATATAACAGCCTTTATATCATTGCAGAAAGTTCTACTGGGCAGTGCTGATGGAAGGAAGGAAGGAAGGAATTGTTTATTATTAATAAAAGATAAGCAACAAAAAGAAGGGCTGGGATTGTGACTCAGTTGGTAGTGCACTTGCCTTGCATATGTGGGGCACTGGGTTCAATCCTCAACACTACAAAAATAAAAAATAAAATAAAGATATTGTGTCCATCTACAACTAAAAGTAAAAAAGAAGTTAAAAAAAAGAAACAAAACGATTTTCCAATGTCAAAATATTTATTGGTCCTGTAAAGGCTTTCAAAACAGGGAAATGTAGTCCTTTCCATTCTTCCTCCTCCAAAATATCAACTTCAGAATAAGACACTGCAAGCAAAAGACTAAGGATCACGAGAATATTACATAAAATCCTTTTGGAAAGTTTATCAAAAGTTGCTTACAGTACTTCATTTTTTTATTTTGTGATGCTGGGGATGGAACTCAAGGCCTCTGGCATGCTAGGCAAGTGCTCTACAGAGCTACATCCCCAAACTTCTGCATTTACATTAAGAATTTTACCAAGTGACAGGCTGCTTCTCTACTATACAAAAGATAAATATATGTTCAAAATGTACTGATTATTTACTTGAATTCCAAGGAAATATTGTTTTTTATTAATATCTTGTAACTAATTATCTTCTCTTGGAGCCACTAAAGTATTTAAGAATACAATAAATTTTCTCTACATATTAAGTTTTACTTTGTCCACATATGAAGAGAAATTGATTTTGAAAGTTCAAGTTCCAATAAGACTGCTTCCATAAACTGCAATGAATATTAGAGTGAGGGCCTAACTAGAAAGATAACAGGAAAAAGTCTTATGTGTAAAATGTCTCCTAAAAAAGATTTTGATTGAAGAAAAAACAGTATCTAAATATGAATGACAATAATGCTGTATGACTGCAACTGATGAACTCACCACAAAACAAAGGAAAACCTAATAAAAACAAATACTTTGTCCTGAGTGCAAACTGTCAAAGCTTTTTAGAATAAGAAGGAGGCACAATTTTTGCATGTTATCGGGAAATTTTTCAAAATTTAGATTTAAAGGGGGCAAGACACATAATATCCTACTGCAGGACAAATAAGTCAACTATAATGTAGTATATTGGCCGACCTCCCCCACCAAAACACAGGAACCTCCAAAAGTCGGGTGGAAAAACAATATTAGAATACAATTCAATACTATCCAATCACTGCAGGTGGAACAGTGATACTCGAGTACAGAGTTTAGGCACCTGCAAGGGTAAGGTAAAGAGAGGGCTGCACTGAGGTGAGTATTAACGGGGTTTGCTGTAAAATGCGTGCAGGGCTTGTTGAAAGCAAAGGGATGTTTTGGGTAAGTTTTTTAAGAAGCAAGTCGTTTGTTCCTTCAAACCCAAATTTCTGGCCAAACCGAAGCTTCCGTTCCAAATACATTTTCTTCACAACATGTTTGTGCCTCGAAGAACTGTCACCCGAAAACGCCGTCGGTCCCCGCGACCCCGATCCCCCCAGGTACCGGAGGCTACCCGTTCAGGCAGGGTTGACCGTAATGATCTAGCGCGCGACAGTAGGCCTGCAAAGCCCAACCGGCGCGAAGCAGAGGCCACCACACCGAGCAGGGTACCCGGGCGGTCACAATCCACAGAGAGGCCGTTCTGGACAAGCGAAGCCCCGCGGACATCCCACCACCCTTTTGTTCCCTTGGGCCGGCGGCCCGGGACTCACCAAGCGGATGAAGCCGAAGCCACGGTCCCGGTTGATGAAGACCTCGCTGGGCTCGCCGTAGCGCTCGAAGAGTCTCTTGAAATCCTCCTCGGTGATGTCGGTGGGCAGATTCCCTACAAAGAGGCGGCAACGCTGAGTGTACGTCTTCTCACCCGGCTTTAGGAAACTCTTGATGTCAATGGTGAACCCCATCTCTTCCTCCGGGTGATCCTCCGGGGGCCCTGGGGCAGGCGGTGCCTGCTCTCCCGCCAGCGCCAGCGCCATGGCCGCCGCGGCCACCGGCTCGTTCTCGCCGGCTGCGGATTCAAGCGCGCGTAGACGGGCCGGGTTTTTCTCAATGCGCACTTGCTTCAGGTTTCCTCTTAACATCATCTTAAGGAGTTCGCCTCAAACACCGGATACAGGCCTAGATGTATGTATGTATACGTCTCTACATGTATCTATGGAAACGAAGCAGAGAAAGTAAGGAAACTGCTGGAAGCCGGAGCCCGCAGCCCTGCCTACCGAACTAACGCCCGCGGCAGCCGCACATTCAAAATGGCGCTGCCACAAGCTGCGGTTGGAAGGAAAGACGCCGAATCTAGTCCCGCCCCTCCGCAAAGGCCGGCGTCCAATCAGCCGGCTGCGCATGCCCGGCACCAACTGAACTTTGGCCGTGTCGACGTACAACCTTGCGCGCTGTACCTAGAGCTGCCTTCTAGGATGGGAAAGTGCAGTCGCCCATCCTAGAACACCTGGTACTGTTTGTTGTTTGTATATATGGGACAGATTATATGTACAGCAGCGTGTGAAAATACAGTGATTTGCGGGACATCTTTTTTTTTTTTAATTGTAGATGGACACGATATCTTTATTTTTATGTGGTGCGGAAAATTGAACCCAGAGCCTCCCATGTGCAAGGCAGGTGCTCTACCACTGAGCTATATAGCCCCAGCCCTTTGGGGGACATCGTTAGCCTTTTTAATGTAGAACTCAATTTTCAATAACTACAACAAAATGAAAACCTGCATGTTTTGTATATTGCATTCATAAAACCGTTTCCAATACACTTAAAACACTTTATTTCTCTCCATTTCAAGAGCAAAATTTTTATGATATGTTTAAATAAACAACCAATCTTATAATTGTGCTGTTGATTATTGACCGCAGAAGACTCCATTAAGTTTCTTATAAAATTAGCACAACCAGATTATGAGTTGCTGTGGGCCACAGGCTTACAAGAACGAACTAAATTTTTCTGTAATAACAGGTATTTAAGATTTGTGAGTCCTACTGTGTCTTATCTGAACTACTCAACCCTACCCGATGCCACTCCTACCCATAGTGAACCCTCAATGCTGTGAAAAAGAAATAAACTCGCACTCTGCAAAACAGTTCAGCAGTTTCTCATGAAGTTAAAAATAAGTTTATAGTATCCATCCCATTCCTAAGTATTTATCCAAGAGAAAGAAAAAATTGTGTTCACGCAAATATTTGTTCATAGAGGTTTTATTAGTAATGGATGAAAAGTGGAAACAACCCAAATATCCTTGACAGTTCAGAGGATAAACAGTAGTACATTCAAGTAATAAAATAATATTCTGCACAGTCGCACATTCATATAATAAAGTACTACTTTGCAATAAAAGGAATAAAATACAGACACAAGCAACACCATTAATCAAAAGGTTACATATTGTATATATGACATTCTGGACAAGGCTGGACTGGATATTCCTGTAGCTAAGGAATATAGGTAAGTGGTTTCCAGGAATTAGGGACTAGGGAGACGTTGACTATGTAGAATCAAGGGGATATTTTGGAATGATGGAACTATATCTTGATTATGACTACACAAGTGTATGTTTATCGAAACCTAGTAGAGAGGCTGGGGATGTGGCTCAAGCGGTAGCGCGCTCCCCTGGCATGCATGCGGCCTGGGTTCGATCCTCAGCACCACATACCAACAAAGATGTTGTAAATTCTCTCTCTCTCTCTCTCTCTCTCTCTCTCTTCCTCTCCTCTCTCACTCTGTCTTTAAAAAAAAAAAAAAAAAACCTAGTAGAAGCCAGTCACAGTGGCCCACACCTGTAATCCCAGCAGCTGGGGAGGATTGAAAGTTCAAAGCCAGCCTCAGCAATTTAGGAGACTGCTAAGCAACTCAAATACAAAATGGGGCTGGGACATGGCTCAGTGGTCAAATGCCCCTGAGTTCAATAAGCTGTAACAACAACAAAAAAACTTACTAGAACTGTGCACTAAAATGGTAAATGTTACTGTATTTAATTTATACAATGAGCATATTTTAAAACTATCCCAAAAATAAAACATGATTGAAGCTAATTACTATTTACCTCAGTCACCACACAAATTCTAATTCCCCAGTTTCTGATACTCCATATATTCCTCAATCTGACCCAATTCCGTGCATCTCTCCCAGTTGTTCAAAAACCTTCTATTGAGTTTTTGGAAACTCACTTTATCAGCAAAATCTACTAATGATTTTTATCTCATCTTCCCTTTGCCTTCCTTCTTTAATTGGAAGATGGAGAGCGACTTCTCCTACAGCCCTCTCTAAAAGTGGACATGCTTTTCTCTTACATCTCATGTCACAGGATTGACTCATGAAATACAGGACATTAATCTTTGATCTCTTGCAACTGCAAGACTATTTCCCCTCTGTTCTTTGACAGAAATCACACACAAAATCTCATGCCAATGCAAATTCTTACTCTCTCTCTCCCTCCCTCCCTGCCTATGCAATAATATCATTGTGAACGTTCTTTAAATTTATTATCACAGATATCAGGTGGACCTCAGCCCTTAGGTTTTGCTCTCTGTTACTTTCCCAAATAACTGTTTTACACTATTTTCTCTCAGCTCATACCAATGCTCCTCCTCACTCACCATAGCCAATAATATTATTTTTTGGTTTTTTGTAGGAAAAAACATTGTCAGAGTAGAATTGCCTCTTCCTATCAGAACAAAATCTACCCCACTACAGTGGGTAGAAGTTCACCTACATTATCTTCCCTTCCTGTAACAGTGAACAAACTACATGCTCCACTCTAAAGTCAACCCTCTTATTCGTCCACTAGATATCATCTTGTCAAGTACTTTGCTTTAGCAGTTATCAGATCACCTTCCCAAATCGTCATTTTCTTGATCCATACAGGAGTATTCTATTTATGGATGTCAAATAAGCATCTCAAATTTAATGTGTCTAGACCAAGACCATTTCCTTTCCCAGTCCTTTCTATTTCACAAAGTCATTATCTCTCATCCACATTCTCAGGCAATCTGGGAATTATACTTGACTTCTTTTCCACATACTCAATATCCAATCAGAGCCAGGCATGATAGTACATGGCTGTAATACCAGTGATTGCCATGAAGGGGATTGATTGAGACCAGAGTATCACAAGTTTAGGGCCAGCCTCAGATATTTAACAAGGCCCTAAGCAATTTTGTGAGACCTTGTCTCAATTTTTTTAAAAAAAATTTTTTAAAGGGCTGGGGATGTGGCTCAGTGGTAAAGTGCCCCTGGAATTTTTTTAAATCCTTGGTAAAACACACACACACACACACACACACCACAATCCAATCAGCAAATTCTTTTGGTTCTACTTTCAAAATATATCCTGAATACAAACACTCTAAGCTAATCCTTTATCATCTAATAACTATTAATCACTATTAACTACTGAAGTACTCTCAATTATATTCCTGCTTCTTCTCTTGCTCTATTAACATGTACACTCAAAATTCCTTCATCCTCAGTACCTCAGATTAGAGGCTCTAAAGAGGTAAATTACTATTAAATTAGGTCAGCATGGTGGGACTGTTTTTATAAGAAGAGGAAATTACAACATAGAGACACACATAAAGAAGACCATGTGAAGACAGTGGTAGAAGACAGACATTTGTAAGACAAGAAGTCTTGCTGACACCTATTTTTTTTTTTTTTTTTTGGTAGTGCTGGTGGTTGAACCCAGGTCCTTGTGCATGCAAGGCAAGCACTGTACCAACTGAGCTGTATCCCCAACCCCATCCTTTTTTTTTTAATCTTTTTTTTATTATTTAGTTGTCAATGGACCTTCATTTTATTCATATGTGGTGCTAAAAATTGAACCCAGTGCCTCACACATGCTAGGCAAGTGCTATACCACTGAACCACAAACCCAGCCCTCTTGCTGAAATCTTGGTTTTGGTCTCCAAGCCTCCAGCACTGTGACAAAATAAATTTTTGTTGTTTAAGCCACTCAGTTTGTGGTGTGTGTGTGTGTGTGTGTGTGTGTGTGTGTGTGTGTTGCTGTGGTTGGAACACAGGACCTAGCCCAAGACTCAGATGCATTACAATGGAAGCCCTAAAAGACAATGCAGGAGCCAATAAAAGTCTTCAGGCAGAAGACTGCTTTTTTTTTTTTTTTTTTTTTTTAGGAAAGTAACACTATAAGGATAGAGTGCCTTGGAGGCACACAGATTAGGATGATAGAGCAGGTACAGAAAATAAAGTCAAACGTGTAAAAAAGATATTGTGAGATTGGATCAAAGAAATAGTGGAAACATAGAAGGAAGGCTTAGTTCAGGGGAAAAAAAAAAGTTTTGAGGAAAACTCCATAGGATTTGACTCCTGATTGACTTGGCAGAGGGAAAAGACATATATATATATATATATATATATATATATATATATGTTAAAGCTGAGAAATTAAGCAAGGTGTCAAAACTATGCCTACCAATAATACTCCAAATAAATGATTAAAATTAGAATAGTGTGAATATGGGTACAAATCAGTGGTAGTGGTAGTGGTAGTGATTGCCTACGATGCACAAGGCCCTGAATTCAATCCCTATCACTGCAAAATAAAACAAAATTAGAATAGAGACAGCTGAGGCCTATAAGAGTGAAGAGAGGTAAAATGAGTCAAATCACAGTAGTGTGATTTTGAATAAATCTAGATTATGAAAATCCTTGTCTCAATAAACATTTGTTTTTAAAGTCAGGCACAATGGCATAGGCCTATAATCTCAGCACCTTGGGAAGCTGAGGCAGGAGGATTACAAATTCAAAATCAAACTTAGCAATTTAGCAAGGCCCTAAACAACTTAGCAAGACCCTATCTCAAAATAAAAAATAAAAAGGGCTAGGGATTCGGATCGGTGTTAAGTGCCCTTGAGTTCCAACACTGGTACAAAAAAATATATATTTTGTGTGTGTGTGTGTGTGTGTGTGTGTGTGTGAGTGTTTATGTGTATGATAAACCACCATATTTTTCAAAAACAGTTTCATAAATGGAATGTCATAGTTTTACATTTGCAATTCTTTTTTAGTAGAAAACTGCAGGGCTGTCATATTGGTTTCTGTATTCAATCAGTAACAAATATTATTTGCTTTATATGAAGAAAATTACATAAGTGTATATAAATATATATTATTTTTCTTTAAAAAGGAGTATTTTAATAGCCTTGTCATATTATTATGGCTATTCTCTGATACTGCACCAAAAATATGACAAGTGGTATTTTCTTAAATATTAGCTGCAAGTAGAATCTGAAATCATATTCATGAACT